TGGCATTTAGTTGAAGGTGGAGTGGAGGAGGGATGGTGCAGGTGAAATGCAAAGCCATAGGTCGGAGTTGGTCACCGAACCCGTGAGGGTCGTGGAGCTGACGACGGCGATGGTGAAGTGGAGATGAGAAAGGAAATAACCTGGATTGGGGTGGCACGCTGACGTTTGCTGTAAGTGGGGAGAAGGTAGTAGCCAACCCGTTTAATTTTTACCTCTGCCATATGCAATTTACTCTATTTGCCAGACATACTCTCCACCAGCTGCGAAATGGACTCAATGAAACTACTGTTCGGTGCGGGTAGTAGTAGCAGTAGACTAGAATGCAAAAAGCACTTACAAATGCATCAAATGTGAGTACAATCTGGATCAATTGAAGTCTGAATGAGACCACTGTAGGACCAGCAACAACACCCCTTGTGTCTTCTACCTCAATGTGGCAACAACCTACACTGCGATGTGAATTAGCGTGAGTTAAAAATTATGAATTAGTCGAGTGCCTAACTCCGTAGTAGTAGTGGTAAATCGTGTTCGTTCACGCCCATTCACCCTGTCGTCACATTCTTCACCTCACTGCTCCCCCCTTTTCACAGCAAGCCCGTTGGCCACAACCTCTGTGCAGACCCCACCACCCATAGTTCGTCTCACTACTCCGACGAGTCAGGCATTTGTATTCCTGCTAGTTCACCCAGACTCGGTCAACAACATTTGTCTGAAAGACCAGCTATGCTTGACAGTAAACGATGAGCTGACGACTGTGCTATGATGTTGCTGTACAATCTCAAAAAAGCCATTTGGCAAGTCTACCGATTACTCTATCCAATATGTTTGGCAGGTCGACAGACTGGTTCATGAAATATCTTTATACAAAGGTAAGAATTGGGATGGGGGGAGAACTGGCGTCGTAGGTGGAGGGATAGGCCACAGGAGGTAGATCAGTCGGAAACTTGACGAAGATGTTGGTCTTGAGGAGGTGTGAAAAGGGCCGGGTCGCGGGGCGGGCTGGAGACCGCATTTCTGAGCAATAGCACGAAGTAGCCCAAACCCCTAGCCGACGTTGGAGTGCTCTTCTTCATTTAAATTTGTGCCTTATGTGCACACCGGCTCGGCTTTCACATCACTGGATTTAAACAGGTGCCACAAGCACATGTGGTCGCGTGCACGAAGACAGAAGACAGGCAGGAGATTGGCACGTGGTGGTTGCCGGCTAGGGGTTTGGGCTACTTCGTGCTATTGCTCAGAAATGCGGTCTCCAGCCCGTCCTGCGATCCGGCGTCTTTTCTCGCCTCCTCACCAACACCAACACTGCGAATGCCTCGTAGACATTACGTCTTGCTGAAACTGATTCCATTAATGAAGACCAGTGCCTGATGCCTTCTACCTGCGTCAGCACGGCTGCAAACAACTAATACTAAAAATTTGGAGTTAGGTGTCTCATATTGTAACATTACAATTAGCGATTGTACAAATTACACGAAAGGGAGGAGTTCACTGTGTATCTATTAGGATTAAGTACCATTAAATAATAATAACAATAATTGCAATGATAATAATAATAATAACACTTCAGAGTACCAGGTGTATTGCAGTCATTGGTTAGCGTCGATGGTGGAAAATATCATGGCGATTTATGCGATCCCTGATGCACGATTGCTTAATGCATGAACTTGAGTGATTCCCAGTTACCCTCTCATCAAATCATATCCTCGGATTTCACTCAAATCATTTTCCTGCCAATCACATGCATCCTTCAACTCACTTTAGCATTGAAGGAAGACATTTCTTTAGACATTATGAAGGTTAATTCAAATGTCCTTTCATAAGAAAACCCCTTATTACTGCGTTTTTAACAGTAGTATGCTTGTGGGAATTTCAAATTTACTAAGACATGTGACAGTCGATTCCATCAGTCGAGCTATGCTGAATCCGTGAACAAGGGATTTGCCTCAACACAGTAATTTGGTCGGTGGCCGCCTCCATATAATTTGTGCACATTTTTGAGTTTACTGACAGACTCACTGACTGACGACTTTGCCATGTTATTTCTGATTGGCGCATTGTTCTGATGCACTTGTTTCAGTGTCACGCTTTTTGAACTTGCGAACTGATTTCTGGTCTAGATAAACAAATATTTGATGTTTCGAGTTTTAATGTGTATTATGAAGAAGGAACACGCCACATGGGAAGTCTGCTTTACCAACTGTAAGCCAGACAACGTCCAGTAGAGTTTTTCATTGAATGATGCATCTCGTCCATTGTATAATGCTGATCATCTTTGTAGGCCATTCAAGCTCACAATTTCAGATGATTGGTTAAACTGTGCGCAATTCAAAATTGCTGCTCATAATTACTATTTAAGATATACTTCTCATGAAATATCAAATCTTGCTTAATTAACTCTAACGAAGACAACGGTCCTTATTTGTGCCTTTTTATGCGAAAGAAATTGTCATTATTTGCGATAAGTTTTTGTTCAAATGAGCTTACATTGTTCAGACACCAATACTTAATGTGATTTTGTAGTTTTGATAAGTCCAGTTGTTGCTGAAATATTTCGGATAACGCAAAAAAACTCTTGTCAACCGTTCTGTATTCCGTTGTAGTTTTTGCGCCAATCTCGTGCATCTGTAAATGGGCCTGAAAATTTCATTTCACATTTGTTATGTAATTCCTAAGACTTTCTAGAACACTGCTTAGAAGTTACAACAGTGGTTCTGTCGCATAAACTAATGTTTGTTGTGTGGAAATGTTGAGTATTGTGTAAATAAAACAAGAAAAAACCGAGGATCCTTGACCAGTGGCACTGCATTTACGACAAATGCAAAGGCTTTTTCAAGCCCGTGTTTATGTGTGTGTGTGTGGGTGGCAAATATGTGAATTCGGCGACGTGAAAGCCGAGCCGGATTGCGGCACAAAATAGGAAGTATAATGGCACATCGTCGCCGGCTAGGGTTTGGGCTACTTCGTACCAATGCTCATATAAACGCGTCCGCCAGCCCACCCCGCGATCCGGCACTTTTCACACCCCCACAACACTAACACCCTCATCACCCATTTTGGCCTTGCCGTCTACTTCCGACGCTACTTCTGCTTCCAACGCAGTACTTATCTTCATAGAATATATTTCATCAATTAGTCTGTAGTCTTACTAAAGGTTTTGTTTAGATTATAAAGTAACATTGTAACGCAGTTAACAAATCATAATATACCTCCAAGTATAGGTAGTTGTGCAGGCTAATGTCATTGACCAATAAAGTCGGGGTAAAGCGAAACTTACACGCAAGACTGACACTCAGGCTGTGAATAAAGGTTGAAGGACAGTGAGAAGTGCAGAAGTGCCTGCTCATTAACCCCTCTGTATGTTCCACCACCACCACCACCACTACCACCCGCTCTATCCATGTGGCCATTCAGACGCCTGTATTTTTACTAGTCCGCTCAACCGTGTCGGTCAACACATCACAACTTGGTTGCTATGTCTCTAGTAAACGGTTGTGCCTCGTCTCTCTGGCCTTCTTCGTCTTTTCGGGTACTCAATGCAGGGTAATCGGCCTAGATGCGATCCAGTGGCCCAGACGCGGTTCACAATTGCTAGCTTAGATCCACAACAACTCCTTTGTTGTAATGTACTGTTTCCACTAGAACACTGTTTAAAAGTTACAAGAGTGGTTCGGTTGCCTTGTCCAATGTTTGTTTTGTTGAGCTGTTGAGCCTTGTATAAGTAAAAGAGGTAAAATAGAGCATCCTTTATCGACCAATGATGAGCCAGAACCCTACCGACTTCTCCAACCGAATTGCGAAGTTAGTAAGATAAAACTTAGATGCCTTGAATGCAGTAAAATTATGTGTGGCAGTTGACTAGGGGTGTAGGCTGCTTCGTTCACTTGAGCATCCACAAACGTCTGTCCTCACTGCCGCCTTCTCGACACCAGCAGCCTCACCGGGTGTACGGGCAATTGACTCTGCTTCCTGGATGCAAGTCCAACAGTGACCCAATCAAGCTAAGTCTGCACAGCATGCGATTGAACAGAAACAACATGGCGCCTGTCACAATCTGCCTAACAACCAGTAAAGTCACTTATGTGGTGGTAAAATAACCATTTGGACGCTAGTCGTGAATTGAGCGTTTACGCAAAACAGTTTCTAAAGTAAAATTTCGCCTGACTTCCTCAAAATCGCAATGTTCACAGTCACGCTACTGTTGCTGATTTAGCAGACATACGCTTCCATGTAATGAATTGTCATCCAGTGAGCTCGTGAGTGTCTCGTGTGTGCCTGTGGCTGCTGCAGAACATTTGCTTCCGAGCATTCAGGTGGAGATGGTGTGAGAGCAGAGTAAGTGTGCAAATACGGGGGGAAGAAAGGGGCAGAATGACGCGCGATTGCCGGCCAGGGGTTTGGGCTACTTCGTTCACCCACGCACACTGCAAAAGCCAGCCCTACCCGCCAAATGGGGCCTTTTCATGCCACCTCAACACACACTACACTAACACCGCCAATGCTCCATTGCCTACTCCTTCCCGTCATTACTACCCACCACCTGTAGTCGTGCTTTCAACTTGCTCCGAATCACGTCTGCATCCAATCTTAAACAACTCTGGCTGCGTCATTTTGAACAATCATTCATTCTGAGCAGTTGTTAACTCGATCGCATAAATGCGATTCCTTCCAAGTAATTGGCCTTTGTTCATCTCATGTTGTGCCCAATACTACACGAGGTCCATCAAATTGTCACTCTCTCAGGTAATGCTCTTGTGTTGGTCGCCTTGACGCCATCACCTGTTCATTCTACTCCACCGTGAGGCAGTGCAGCATTAGATCGTGGCATCTCCGACAGGTTTCTCGACCAATGCAATGCTGCTTTTTATTTCAAACAACTCCCAGCTCTTTAGGATGGTTGCTTCATGAAACTTATCAGTGAAATGCAAACTCTTGCCAAATCAAAAACAGGAGTAGCGTGGTGGTAACATTTCAATTCTATTGATGCGTGACACGGGCCAGTGGATTGCATCAATCCAGTGGTGCTGAGGTCTTTCAAGGGGAATCTGTGACAAGTCACCATATACTGATTTCGCTGCATGGTTAGTGGATTGTGACGTTTTTCCTGTTATTCCTATCACACTCATGCCTTGTCGACTTGGGGGTGGAAACTTGTCTGCTGCTGGTTGGTCTCTGTTTTTTTTCACTAGCGCTGCTATCGATGTTGGCAGCTGGAAAGCGTCGAAACGTACATCCCGTGGGACGCTGGTGTGGCTATTTGGTGTCGCAGATCCTTTTCCCCATCGGTGTGTGTTGCGATGCCTTGACCACGTGTCGTGACCCACTATCACGTCGAACATGACCTTGCCGTGTGTAGTGTAATATGATTTAGTTGCCGCAATTAGACCAAGATTGCTTGAGAATCAGTGTGTAAATAAAGTGGCAGTCATGAATTTGCGTTTGAAGACCAAGAAATCACCTGTGATGTCTTTCTTCAGTGTCGGATCATCACATTGCTAAAACATCGTAGCTGGCATCCGTGGCAAACGGCAAGAAAGCAGGCGTTAAACACACACACACACGTGCACACATGTCATGTATGCACGTGGTTGCTGTCGAAATTGTTTGATGTGAAAGCCGAGGCAGTGTGCAAATAAGGCAGAAGACAAGCAGCAGATTGGCACGTGGTGGTTGCCGGCTAGGGGTTTGGGCTACTTCGTATCATTGCCAATTTACAATTGGCCAGCCCGCCCTGCGATCCGGCGCCTTTTCTTGCCACCTCACCAACACTGCAAATGGCTCGTAGACGTGCCGCATTTCTGACACTGATTCCATCAATGACGACCGGTGCCCGATGCCTTCCACGTGCGCCTGTACATCCGCAAACAGTTACTAACATCTTGTGACAGACTTTCTCAATTCAAGTGTTTCGAGTATTTGCGCTTCAACGTATTTGATGATGTTGTGGTGAGCAGCACGCGAACGCAGTTAGCAATCGGGAGCAACATGATTGCTAACTATGTTCGTTCAGGCATT